CACATTTTTATTTGCCTGGTGATTTGCACAAAGCTGAGTGAAAATAATGACATTTCACCATTTCGAGATTGGCATTGCGAGACGATTTAGATTCAACACTTCAGATTCAACACATTTTTTCGTATAACCTTTCTATTGCATCAAAATTTTCGAGTCCTAGCCATTGCTTGCATATAGGGGCCCAACAATCGGCAACATATAGTGACCTTTAAACTAATTGTCTGAATTTGGTTAATAAAATGAAATTGAAATAGAATCCTCTCCTAATAGCAGAAGTAATAAAAAATTTACTTAAAAGACACGGGAAGTAATGAACCTTGCAAATAACCTTAAACTAAAACTCTGGCAATGGATTGCCATTGCAAAACTTGAAAATCATTTTGTAATGCAGAAACTCTTTGGCATTCCCCTAGTGTACATCTGTCATAAAATGTCTGCCAAAATCCAGAATTAGCATCTCGGCTAATACCACCATTAGTATCTTCACCCATTTCTTCTTTGCCTCTGTTGCCAATCATAACAAACAATAAATTTGCATTAATTATCTCTTCACTTTCAAATGCTTTCATCATATCCTCCACTATGGTTGCTCTGGGACATAGGAACGACTACATGAGGATGAAAAGGTAAAATAAATTTTATCGTACAACGAACAAATGCAACAGCTGGTAAAAAGTGTTACAAAACATATACTTCATCTTTCTACATTTCACGGAATAATTCGGCTTCATATCTATTTAGGTAATTAGGTTTAATCATATGTTTTAGCTTATCTGTTATATGCAAACAAACAGCAGTAGTTCTTGTTTGCTCATCTTATGGAATATCAATATTCAGTTTCAGTATAAGACTAATTGCAATCTTAAAGTGATTCAAACAAGATGATGTTGGAGTGTTTGGCACACCAACTTCTTTGTTACAATTGCAAATTGTTCTTAAAGTGCCTATATCACTTATGGGATCTTTACGGATTTGAATAGAGCTTGAAAAATTAGTTTAGAAGTTCTACAACCCTTTTTGATATAATTAAATAGTTTTGGAGACTGACGCCTGTATTCAAAAAGCTCACTCACACTCACACTCATTGAGTGTGACATATAAATTTTGTTAATGCTGATCAATGAGAAAGTTTTCTCTGAATAGATGGAAAGATATAAGGTAAATCACTGAAAATCAAGCTCCTATTCGGCTTGAAATACCGCCATTGAAACATTATGAGGAGATTAAGATCTCCCACTCAATGAGTTTGAGTGTGACTGAGCTTTTAGAATACAGGCGTGAGTCCAAGTTCCCCCAACCGACGTATTTTCGAAACTATTTAATTATATCAAAAAGGGTTGTAGAACCTATAAACTAATTTTTCAAGCTCTATTCAAATTCGTAAAGATCACAAATGATATAGGCACTTTACTATAACCTTGTGTTTGTATGGTAGCATTATTTAATTTACTTGGGTGAGCCTGCTCGCAGATTGAAATTTTAATTCTCCGGAAATTGGAAAGGGTTTATTGGAGAGGTTAAGATACCCCGGTTTCAATATTATATGGGTAGCCATAATTTGTTCATTGGAATTTTTTGTTGTTTGCATATTTCATGATACAAATCATGCTTACCTCAAGAGGCTAAGGTACACTGGGGAGAATTGTGGAGTTAATTTTGGAGAAAATCAAGAAACACTGATAAAAATTAATTGAACAAAATAAGGCTATCTGTACCCATACACTGGAACCGGGGTATCTTAACCTCTCTAATTACCTCTCTCCAACAGGGGCGGTCCCAGCCACCCAAACAGGGGGGAACTTTTCAACCGCCAAAGGCGGGAGTAGAGTAGGAGGGTCCAGGGAAATTTTGAAATCTCTTAAATGCGTTTTTCTGCATTTTGGGAAGTCTTTTTTTCTGAAAACCTATGCCACTTAAGCCTAAAAATAAGATGACCAGCTTTCTAGAAAGTGTCAAGAATGAGTTAAAACTTTCACAAAACTTTAAAAAATAGGTACGCAATGCGTACATGTGGGTAGCCTGTTAAACATTATTAATGCGATAAAGCTGCTATAGTGGCAAGTAAATATCAACTGATGCAATAAAATATTATTTTCTAGTCTTATGTTTTAACGCCATAGACAACGGAATAAACGCCCTATAATTAGCTGGTTGAATACAGTTATAACGAAGTCTTATTATGCAAGAGAAGATTTATTATGCAATCTATATATTATAATATTTTATTGTATTAAATACATTTTAGGACAGATCAAAACATATATAAAAGCATTTTTACAAGAGATAGGAAATGAAATTTTTTAAGCAGAATAGGTGAACAGAACAAAAAAGACAGTAAGGTTCCGGGATGGTGGCACACATCGTCTGATAATATAAAGCTTAGTTTAGAAGGAGAAAGATCTTAACAAAGATTTCATGGAGGATAAACTACTTGATTTGCCAGATCATTTTACAGTCACATAACAAAGAGTCCAAAATTGTTTCAAACGTTTCGCATTAACAATATTTTAAGGATTTATCTATGTATCTGAACAATATTTTAAAGATTTTTGATCAGTTGAAATGCACTTTTGTTAACAGTTTGTTTTTTTGAACTCCAAAGCATTTGGTTTAATAGCCGCATGTCCACAAGCAAGAAATTGACAAGTGAAATATTGCATTACAATTTATAAAATAGGGCAACTTGTTACTACCATATGCCGAATTATAATTTTTAAAACAGGGCAACTTGTTACTACCATTTGCATTAAGGTAATGTATTTGGTTTAATAGCTGCATGTCCACAAGCAAGAAAGACAGGTGAAATAATGAATTTTAATTTATAAAGCAAGGCAACTTGTTACTACCATTTGCCAAATTATAATTTATAAAACAGGGCAACTTGTTACTACCATGTGCAATAAGGTAATGTATTTGGTTTAATAGCTGCATGTCCACAAGCAAAAATTGACAGGTGAAATATTGCATTATAATTTATAAAACAGGGCAACTTGTGACTTCCATTTGCAATAAGGTAATGTATTTGGTTTAATAGCTGCATGTCCACAAGCAATAAGTTGACAGGTGAAATATTGCATTATAATTTATAAAACAGGGCAACTTGTGACTTCCATTTGCAATAAGGTAATGTATTTGGTTTAATAGCTGCATGTCCACAAGCAAGAAATTGACAGGTGAAATATTGCATTATAATTTATAAAACAGGGCAACTTGTGACTTCCATTTGCAATAAGGTAATGTATTTGGTTTAATAGCTGCATGTCCACAAGCAAGAAATTGACAGGTGAAATATTGCATTATAATTTATAAAACAGGGCAACTTGTGACTTCCATTTGCAATAAGGTAATGTATTTGGTTTAATAGCTGCATGTCCACAAGCAAGAAATTGACAGGTGAAATATTGCATTATAATTTATAAAACAGGGCAACTTGTTACTATTTATTTCCTATTAGTGTAACTTTGTAGTTGTAGATTCAACGCTCACCGATCACCGCTTTTTCGTCTTTAAAGTACTCAACTTCGCTTTAAAATTTGACAAACGTACTAACGTAACCTCGGTTGCTTCCGTCCTTCGAAAACAACGAAATTTTCCGGAAGTAGAACGTACCGTTCGTCATCTTTCGTATATCCGACGATTGCCGAAGATTGCCACAGACACACACACACAGATCCGGACACTTTTTCGACTACATAGTGGTTAGCCGCGCATGCGCAGGCTACCCACAAAAATGTCTTGAATTCAGGTTATATGTAAGTAAATAAGATATGATCTACATTAACAATTTAAAGAACAGAGTTTAAGTGCATAGTCGTAGCCATGTCTAGAGTGGAAGCTTTTGAGGCTTTGCAAGCTTAAATATTTTCTCTAATTTGCTGAGTTCTATATTTGCTGCCACATCTCGTTCACAGCTTATCTGGACTAGATCCTCAAGTCTCTCACAGTGGCATGGCAGCTCGCAAATAATTGTTTATAATCTTTACTTTGCTATATGTGTGCTCACATGATGCCACTGTTACTGGCAATGTAGCCACGATCTTAATGACTTGGTACAGGTCGGGATAAAGATGGTGTAGGTCATCATCGCTGAAAACATCGAGCAATGAGGGCAAACAGACCCAAGGTGTAACTGGAGAGTTTTCATTCAGGCCTTTCTCTTTTCTTTTCTTTACTTGGTTCTTGTGTTTTTTGTATGCATTCTTCCAATCATCACACTGCTTTGATTTTGAAAATAGTAGGAATTGTTGACCAACATGATGACTGCTACGCTTATAGAATTGAACTATCTTCTCAACTTTAGGGACATTTTCTTCAGTTAGGTTTTGTGGATGGAAGGTTGCAGAAAAACTAATCATTTCACATGTTGTTTCAGAAAAGCGTTTGTTCAGCTCACTTTGTATATTGTCCAAGAAAGGAAAATACAGTTCTCTTCTAAAACAATCTAATGCTGATTTGCCATCTGGTCGGATGTTTTGCAGAGTAGACATATCTAAAATAGATTGGCCATCAGCAAGGTGGGTGGGGCGTATTCGGTGGCGTTTGGTTTGCAGGACTGTTGGACTTGCATCACTAAAACTAACATCAAGGACTTCGCTGCCCCATTTTTCGGCAAATGAATTAGCTTCTTTTATAAACATGTTGAACTGTTTATCAGTGCGAAAAGATGCAATTGTTGCTTTCAGATCCTGAATAGCAGTAACTCCTGATGTTAGATCCATGTCTTCTCTCTGCAAATATTCTGAGGCATGTGTGCTAAGAGAAAAGCACTTTAAGGTTGCAACGTCTTGAACATAGATAAAGGTGCTTGATATACATTCATCACAACTTCCAAGTTATCAGTGCGTGCAGTCCATCTGGTATCAGAAAATGAGTGCAGAGCAGTCTTGCCTGAGGTAATGTCATTCGCTTTCCAATGGTTTTCATATATTTTGTGACTCTTAGGCGACCTTAGGCGATGTCCCCAATTGTCGTAAAGATTTCTTTGACTAAAGGAATCGTTTCTACGCTTTGTTCAAGAACAAGATTAAGCTTTTGGGCAAAGCAATGAAATAGATTGAAAACTCAGCTCCAGCTTCCGTCAAATGCAGTTGCACTCCCTCGTCCTTGCCGGACATATTTGCAACACCGTCAAAGCCTTTACCAATGAGATCTATTAATGAAAGTCTGAGGTCTTTCATAATGTCCACGATCACCTCAGCTAAAGAACGCCCCTTTAAGCTGGACACCCTCACAAGCCTGATACACCTCTCAGTTATCTTAAAATCTGTTACATATCGCAATATAACGGACATCAAGGCCTTTTTGTGAGAGGTAACCTCGTCACACTGGATGGAGAAATATTTTGCCAATCGGATTTCATTACAGACAACTTCGGTAATGAGGTTGCTAAGAATACTGATAATCTCATTTTGACTCAGATGGGAGAAATATGAGACATTCTCGGGTTGCGTATCCATCCATTTCCTCAAGGGGGCGTGGTACTTGGAAAGAAATTGAAGCTCTTCAAGGAAATTGCCTTCGTGTTTTGAATCATACGACTCGTCATAGCCACAGAAGGACATGTTCTGTTTAGCCAAATGTTGAACGTCGAAAATTGTTTCAACGATGTCTCGGTTCTCTTTACTCTCCTGCTCCTTTCTTTCTGTTACTGCTTCCGCTTCCCTGTTCAGTTGCATGTTGATTGGCGTTGCTGATTTGAATGAATGAATGCGTTCTGTTGAAAGCGTATGCATCTGCGAGTTAGCATGTTTGCTTAGCTCTCCCTTTTCTCTGGTAGCATTCTTCCAATTTCTGAAGCCAGTCTTTGTGAACTCATCATCCGGACTGCCGACTGTAAGAATTGGTTATATTGTGCTTAAATAAGTATCGTACTTAACTTAAGTATTCGCACTTGCGTGCTTTTTAAAATCAGGGTTTTTAAAACAGGGTTTTTAAGATCAAAATAACACATGCTTATAAACTCATATTTTTGAACAAAACAATTATGCAAAATCAAACATTTAACAAAGTGTACTTTATCAACATTCAAAGAGCAAAGATAATATTTTGGTATACCATTTAAACCCTTCACACAGAGCAAAGTTCTATCTGCTGTAAAATTGTGCTGACTAAAAACATGCCAACTTGAGATTTTCAATGTCGGTTGTGTCTATAATGTCTAAGTGCCTATATCACTTGTGGCATCTTTACGGATTTGAATAGGGCTTGAAAAATTTGTTTATAAGTTCTACAACCTTTTTTGATATAATTAAATAGATTCGAAAATACGTCCGTTGGGGGGACTGGGACTCGGAAATTATTTGCAAACACGCCATCTTTTATAATGTAAACATGAAGAGTTTCACTGGCGATATAGTTTGCGCTTTTCAAGAAAAAAATGCGGGAATGGTGCGTTGCGTACGGCTGTAACAACTGGGCGAGTTTTTCTCAAAATATTTTACGTTATTGGAAGATAGAAGTAAAATTACAATTGATTATATTATGTTTGACAAGAACTCGGTTCCTGAGTCCCAGGCCCCCGAGCACGATGGAAATTTAGGCAAATTGTCATGTTTAGATGTAAATATTTCCGGAACTATTTAACTATATCAAAAAGGGTTGTAGAACTTATAAACTAATTTTTCAAGCTCTATTCAAATCCGTAAAGATCCCACAAGTGATATAGGCACTTTAAAACAATGCAAGTTTGGTACTTGCTACCAATATAATAATCCTCAATTATTTTAAATACCGAAATATCGAAAAATATATATAAAATGCTACTTGCTTTACTTTAAAACAACAAAATTCCACATTCACTCCCTGCACTTTGCAGACTTGATAGAGAGCAAGCACATGGTCTTCAGTTACTATGACGACACATCAGAATGAGGCAAATCTGACATTGCAAATCTTGATATGACACAGCTAGGAAGCGTTCTCCTTCATCAAACGCAATGAGAATTTTAAAGATCAGCTGCACCAGTTATTGCTCCATCCTTGGCTAAATTAATGCACATTTCTATCAGCTCAACTGTGTTCCCTCAGCGGTGGAAAATGGAAAATTTACGCCAATCTATAAATCCGGAGATCATGCGGATGCCGGTAATTATCGTCCAATATCCGTACTCCCAGCGTTGTTGAAAATACTCGAGCGTACAACCTAGAGGGAACTTTGTTTACATAATAATTAGATACATTTTCAACCTTTTTAGACTTTTATAATGTTTCATATTTGTATTACAACCATTATCGTAGGAGGGCTAAAATTTTATTAGTATTATATTAGTATAATTTTATTTCATTAGAAACAAAAACAAACAATGTAGAAAAGCAATTAAATCTCAAAGTTTGGCTGACTGGGACAAGTTTAGGAAACTACGTCAGGAATTAAAAACTGCTTTGAAAAGGAGAAAACAAGAATATGTCGGAACTCAAATCCACCATTCATGAAAATCCAAAACGCTTTTGGAAGTGTGTTAAGTCGATGACTAAACACTCAACTAGTCCAAATTTTTTAAGACGAGATCAAGTATTAATCACTAAACCAGACGAGAAAGCCAACATGTTAAATGAATTTTTTCAGTCAGTATTTTCGGGCGATTGTGTATCAAGTGTACAGCAAAACATTTCTAGATCTACAAACAAGTTGACAAATTTTCAGGTCACAGTAACTGAAGTCTACGATTTACTCCGCTGTATCGACCCAGCTAAAGCATGTGGTCCCGATAATCTCCCCGGAAGAATTCTGAAAGAGGTTGCTTCTGAAATTAGTTCTTCTGTAACAAAGTTATTTAACCAATCACTTTCTGAGGGCCAGTTTCCCCAGAAATGGAAAATGGCAAATTTATTTCCTCTTCACAAAAAGGATGATCCAACCTTTGGTTGATAATTATCAACCAATTTCTCTACTTTGCATTTTATCAAAAGTATTTGAGAAGTGTATATTCAACCACAGTTTCCTCTTTTTATCTGCCCAGCTTTATCACCTGCAACATGGCTTCCTTCGTGGCCGATCTACGATTACTCAGCTTCTCGTCGTATATCAAGATATTCTTGAATCGTTGTCGAAAGGCCAAGAGACTGATGTTATATTTTTAGATTTTGCAAATGCTTTTGACAAAGTCTCTCACAGTCATTTGATCAATAAACTCAAACATTTTGGATATGAAGGTCAACTGACGTCAGCGGAGAGTTGTGATTGATGGTGTATACTCGGACTGGCTTGCAGTGACGTCACGGGTACCACAGGGATCGAATTTGGGACATTTGCTGTTCTTAGTCTACATTAACGATGTAGTTACGTAATATAACTGATCAGTATGTAAATATGTTAATTAAGAGTGTAGGCTATATAAGCCCGTGTAAGACTCGATTTTCTTGTTGTGAAATACAATTGTAAAGTAACCCAAGTGATGGCAAGTACAAAATGGTGCTTCGAACTGGATATTTGATTTGTTTGCTTTATATAATTGTAACCGGGTGTATAAGACCTGGGCGAAATATGGATGAGCGACAGAGAACATTGAGAGTGTACGACGATGCCGAAAGCCTTGGGCGAAGTCAGGGAGAATTTGATGTGTATCTTGCTGAAACGAAACAACCTGAAGTGGCCAAAAGGAGAGTTCATGCTGCTGGAGAAGAAATGGTAGTCAGATTGATGAAATCTAGGAGCGGTCATCAAGGACGCTTGACACACATCAACAATCAGATAAGTACTTTATTATACGACTCCAATAATATAACTGTAGTGAGGGAGCTTAAAGAAATGTTCGAACGTCAATGGGAGCGATTTAGTCTTGTTCACAAAGATATTTTAATATACGTGCTAACGATACTTCTGCAGTAGCAAACGCTGAAACAACATTTAACGAACAGGCAAGTCAAAGAGGGAAACTTTTGGATAGGATTAGTAATTATTTGTCTAACAAAGCTATGAACAATGAGCAAATACAGAGTAATTTATCTAAAGCCAAAAGTGTGAATGATTTCGAAACTACAAGTCATGCCAGTCTTGGTTCGTTGGCAACGAATGTATTGGCTAAGTCAGCAGCGAGTGCAAGATCCATTGAAAAGCGACAAGTGCAAGTAAAGGCCAAACTATCTGTTAAACAGCTCCGCGAACGGCAAAGAATTGAAACAGATGCAGAGCTGCATAAATTAGAAGCACTAGAGCGGCAAGGCATGAAAGAAAGGCTTGAAATTGCGAGATTAGAAGAACAATACGCAATTGAAGCAGAACAAAAGTGATGCTTCGATGACGAACAGGTGGGTTTAAATAATATAAAAGCCTCTGAGTTTGAATATCGTTCTGCTGCATTGCCTAACAGAGATTTGCATGATTCAAAAGCATTTGACCAAAATAACAGTTATTTAAGTGGTCAAGGTCGAGCTGCGCCAAACAATGAAGTGCAGCAGCTTGCCGAAATGCTCACTAATTTGTCTAATGCACCGCCAATCGAGATTGTTAAGTTTACAGGTGGCCCAAAAGATTATCTGAGATTTGTTAATCGTTTCCAAGACCAAGTTCTCTCACAGCCAATGCCGGAGAGTAACGAGCCAAAGAGGCTGTGAAAAGATACAAAGGTATGGGCTCTGGTGCATTGACAGAAGCGTTAAATGTATTGAAGTCTCGTTTTGGTCAATCTTATATGATAGTAGACGCATATACAGTCTCGATTGTGAGAGGTCCAGTTACTGTTAATGGCGATAGCAAAGGTTTAGAGAAACTAGCAAAAGAATGCGAATTGTTGAAGAAAACATTAAAAGTTATGCATAGCGATTCAGAAGTTAACACAGACCACATGCGAAGAATCGTATCACGTTTGCCGTACCACAATCAAGGGAAATGGAGAGACGTGGCTAGTTCTATATAAAGAAAAGAAAATCGCCACCAAATTTTCAAGAACTAACAGAATTCCTTGATGATCGGGCTCGTGCAGAAAACGACCCAATTTACGGGCGTTTGAGAGATCCTGTAAAGAACAGACGACCGAAACAGACACCAGAAGAAAATAAGTCAAAACATGTTTCAATTCAGTCGTTATCCACCTAGCAAAGAATGTCCTATTTGTAAGCAGAATCACAAGCTCATGACATGCACGATTTTCCTGGAGAAGCCTGTTGCAGAAAGAAGGAAAATCGTCCTAGGTGCTAAGGTATGTTTCCAATGTCTCTCGAATAATAATTTTAAGAGGTTTTGTAAAAGTTCCAAATGCTCCATAAAGGACTGCGACAGAAAGCACCATGAGCTTTTCCCCCTAACATATACGAATGATAGACCAATGACTCGTGGTGGACAATCACCGGCCAGCGCAACTAAATGTGACGCCGAAGTTCAAACATACACTTCCAGTCTGATTCCGAGTGGACTCGGAGGAGTGACAGTGCTACCCGTAGTTGCAATTAAGGTTTACAGAGACGACGGTCGTGGAATCACAACGTATGCCCTGTGGGACCAAGCCAGCGAAGCATCATTCATTCATGGCAGCTTAGCTAGGAAGCTCAATCTTAAAGGTATGCGCTATATGCAGCGTAGTTTGTCGGTAAAGTCGTTCATGGGTTCGACCTCATGGGTTCGTGAAACCATTGTTACCGACAAGTTGGACCTACAAGAATAGAATCCAATAACAATGTAGGAGTTCACCTCCTACAAAGTTCACAGAATCACTGCGGCGAAGAGTGAGGTTTGCTGAAA